GTTACCTGCTCTATCCGTACCAACACCACTTTTGTCACCCCCGTACACGCTTGCTATGGTTGCCGTTGGTATCTTGAAGTGTCTGTGTTGGTGTGTGGGTATTAGTTAAGACTCTTGCTATATTTAGTGCGGATGCGCGCTTCACCCCCCGGGGGTTGTCATAAGTAATAATTTGTATAAAATCAATCAAATTTGAAGTCATTTTACTTACTGTTAATTTGATATCGCTTTGCTGCACTTCCGTGGGAAGTGTTTACCGCCCTGTGTGGTACGGTAGTTTGTTACGTTCCTTCCTGTGATTAGAAGGGGTTATTTGGTGTTTGTCAGACAAGCTTGTTTTATCATATGTGTACTTACTTGTGCTTATTTTGTCATATGAGAAATTAAATTCTCATGTGTAATCTCAATGAGATGTTTGGGGTCACTGGGAAAGTTCGGTCTGGTTGACGCCACCTGTGGAAGTTCGGTTTCTTGTACCTTACTTTTTTAGTATATTATATGATGTTGTACAATGTATCTTGACTCAAACTGACTTCCGATCTGTTATTTGTGTATGGTTGTCACACAATCACTGTGGAGTGATTGTGTTGTTAACTTTAAACTTGGTCACTGTACTTCCTCTCTCATGATTTAAATGGTCTCCTGCACTTGTGTTAATTGTGTGAATACTCAGCATATGCAATTAAGTGATCGCGTGGATTGGATTTTTCTTGTTGTGTGTTCAACTGGGTTGAATTCTCCTTCAACCGATGTTATTTCTTAGTTGTTTCGCACTCTGGTGTCGACTCCATGTTCTGATTGATGCGATGTCATATGTTGACGTAGACGACCAAACTCCCTTTCTCGATTGTTCGTTGTGTTTGCATACCCACTCAGGATATTGTTATTTGTTTGTCTAATACTGCGAGTTGAGTGCTTTTGTGTTTTGTTCTCTCCTAAACAATGTTATGCTTAAGTAACTACTCCTTCGATCTCGACCTCCTGTCTGAAGTGATTTCAATATGATTTGTTGACTTAAAGCTCAAAACTACCTTTCCTGATTGTCCTTTTTATTTAGCCTATTCAATTAGGTCTATAGTTGTTTCTTAGTATGTTATTATGGGTTGGATTGTCCCTATATAACTTTCAACCTTGTCTTAGGTGATTTCAATGTAATTTGTTGATTCAAACCTCTAGACTACCTTTCTCGATTTTTCTGCGTGTTTAGCTTACTCAATCAGTTTTTTATATGTATGTTATTATAGGTTGGATTATTCCTATATAACTTTAATCCTTGTATCTTGAAAGCGATTTCCATGTGATTTGCTAATTTAAACGTCCAAACTACAATTCTTGATTGTTCTTTGAATGTATCATACTCAATCAGGCTGTTGTTTGTTTATTTATATGTTTTTATGGGTTGTATTGTCCCTATATAACTTTGTGTATGATAATGTATTGTGTTTCAGTGGTATCAGGTGTGTTAATCTTTCTGAGATAATCAGATGATAACCTCTGTCACTCATTGTGTTCTATAGGTTCTGTTTGTGGATGTTTTGTTAAATCTCTGTCACTGCTGGTTACCTTTAATCTTCCTCACCCTTTGTTAATTTCGAAAGTCCCAATTGATTTATTGGTTTCTTTGGCTCACTTTTAGACTGGGTCGAATGCCTTGTAAGTTCATCTATTTCTGACTACTCGTGCTATGTTGTTGCTTTTGTAGATATTAGATTATAGATTCTACCCTGTGATCTCGGTGTATATTGGTTGTGATTCTGTATAGATCTTCTTTGAAGATTATTCGACGGTTTGTCTTCATCTAATGTCTTACCAATGGGTCTTGATCTTGCCCATTATCTGCTTGATGGCTTGAAATGGTGCCTCTTCAAGTTGATTTGCTATACTTTACTAATTAGTTTGTTAGCGTATATTTCTTATTTTAAGATTCTTTTCCGAGGTGTTCTCAGTTGGCATTATTTTCCGAGATATTCTCGACTAGCTATTCTAGCTGTGTTAGCTAATAGTGTCACCTCCAATTAGAAGAACATCTTCTTTTGATTGGTCATGAGCGATATTGTTGCGCGTCTAGCCTGTATTGCCTAGTCGCCAGTCTATCTGTGCTTGTGCATAGGGCCCCTGACGTCATTGTTCGAATATCCCCAACATAGATCAATAAATCACAGTGACACTTCTAAATTTTTCACACACTGAGATTTCACTGTTCTCCCAACTAGTTATAACACCTTGACACGTGTCTAGCTTACTTCTGGAAAACGATATACTCCCCTTAGTCGTTGTGCT